AAACTTCATCCCCTTCTTTTTATACATGGTAGAGCCATGCTGCAGCTATATTAGTAGTATAATTGTAGCACGAATGAATGACTAGGGAAGGATCACGCTCTCACAGAATACCAGCGTAAATTGCATCACAAAGCTGCTGTGTTTTGTATGGTGAGTGTAGAGAACCGGAGACCCTTTTTACTGGAAACGAGGCATTCCATCTTAGTCCTCGCGGGTGACAACATATCTGCATTTTGATTCGCAAACGTGGATAAATGTAGATGTCTGTGGGCCACAGCAACTACTTACCATCAGGTGGACTGTGTACTCGTTTGTCACCCTTATACTAAAAAAAAAACTTCGACAAGCTTAAATGTGTCGTTTTTTCTTCTCCAGGTTAATACGTGACCACCACAATCATCAAACCAGTTTATAATTGACGAAGTGAAAATCCCCTTCCTTTTTTGAAGTTAAGACGGGCAAGTGAAAAATATATCGATATATATCCAATCGGTATTTTTAAATAGTTTCAATATATATCGCGTGATAAAAAAAATTATAGGAGAGGGAAGCAAACGAGCATGGGGCTCACCTGATGGTAAGTGACTAGAGCCGCCCATGAACAATTGCAATACCAGAGGAATTGCAGATGCGTTGCCGGTTTTTGAAAAAGGAGTAAGCTCTTTTGTTGAAGGTCCCTAAGTCGTATCGTTCCGGAAAAATCGCTGGTGGTAATCGATTCCACAGGGAAGTTGTGCGAGGAAGAAAACATCGTCTAAATCGCACAGTGGTGGACCGCCAATCATCAAGATGGTATGGATGGTATGGATGGTACCGCGAGTTTTGTCGTGATGTGCGATGGTGAAATTGAGCGGCTGGAATTAGTCCGAGCAATTCCTCAGAGCACTCCCCGTGGTACATGCGATAAAAACGCAAAGAGGTACAGCATCTCTACGCAGTGCCAGTGGGTCAAGCCGATCGGAAAGAACTCGGTCGTCGACGATTCGAACCGCTGTGCGCTAGATGCGGTCAAGTGGAAAAAGCTGGCACTGGGGAACCCTTGTCGAGAGATGGGAACAGTATTCCATTTGAGGCCGAACCTGCGCCTTGTAAAGTTGTAGGCGATGTGTCGGTATGAAATACTGTCCCGCTCTGCTGAGCATGCCAAGTTTTTTAGAGGCCAATTTGGCCTTCTCTTCCAAGTGACCACAAAACTGCATGTCACTCTATATGTCAACGCTGAAGATTCCGATACTGGCTGAGGCAACAAGCGGAATGCCATGAAACTGAGGAGACACGACAAAGGGGTTCGTTTTAGTGGTAAACGTGGAAACTTGTATCTTCTGGGGACTGAACTAGACTAGATTTACTCGCCCCTAATCCGAGACTTTGTTCAACAAAGTCTCGACTTCAGACACAAGTTTGTACCGGTGCTCGCCGACATTTTCTCGAGAAATAAAGGTGCATAAAGCATCATCAGTGCTGTCATCTGCATATCAATGTATGGTACCGGTTTGCAACATATCATTGATATGCAGAAGAAACAGCTTTGGTGATAGCGCACAGCCTTGTGGAACACCAGCGTTAATGGGCTTGCAATCGGAGCACGCACCGTCTACTACAACCTTGATGATCCAATCAGCCAGAAAACTGGTGATCCAATTGCACAATTTCTCGGGAAAGAAACTTCGAAAGAAGCGCTTTGTGCTAGACCCGATCGAAGACCTGCGCTATGTCTTAACTAACGGCCAATGCATCCCCCTTGAACTCGATCGCCTGCACCGATCTACGTGTTAGATAAACAAGAAGATCACCACCTGAACGACCTCGGCGGAAACCGTACTGTCAGTCACTAATCAACTGGTGCTCCTCAAGGTACCGCATGAGCTGGCAGCTTATAATGGACTTCATTATTTTTGAGAACAAGGAGGTGATGGCGACAGGCCTGTAATTGGACGGATCAGAGCGGTTGCCTTTTTTAGGGATCGGGTGCAGGAAAATTATCTTCCATGAATTCGGGACAATGCCTAGGGAGGTAGGGAGTAGGAGTACCGAAATGACGCGTGAGAACCGGTGCCAACTCTGGAGCACACGTCTTTAGCACAATTGGCGGGATTCCGTCAGGCCCACTCGACTTGTGGATGTCCAGGGAGAGAAGTGCTTTGCGTACTGAGTGCTGTGAGAACCGCACATCCGGCATGGAGCACTCACACCGCGAGATGGTTACGGTGTGAGCCAGTGAGTCGTCCTCCCTGTGCAGAGATGGTAGTGATGGCTTACAGAAATTCCCTTGGACAGCCTTGGCAAGAGACCAGAATGCACGGGTTCCCGAAGGAAGGCGAGCTAGTTTTTCGCCAATTCTGCCTATGTGCTCTGACTTTGCCTTGGCAATAACTCTTTTGAAGGACCTGGAGGCGAAGTCATACTTCTTTTTAAGTATGCTGGTGTTTTCATCCCGAGACGCCGAAGCCGCAGCCCAGGCTTGATAACACTCCTGCTTACTGCGTAATGCAGTCTTACAGGAGCGACCAAACCAAGGCTGAGATCTGCCTCCGATGGGTACCACAGATGATGGAATAAATAGTTAAATTCCCTGTAGCACCACATCAGTGACAGAGTCAGCAACAGCGCTGGGATCATCCGGCGAGAAGCAAACCCGCCCCCATGGGTAGGATGCAAAGAAAGAACGCATTCCATCCCAATTCGCCGACCTGTAGTGCCAAACACGGCGGCAACCTGCAGAACGCAACCGCGAGGGGAGCGTGAGTGGCACCACACTCCGGATCAGACAATGGTCCGAAGAGCCAAGAGGGGCATCGACGGTATGATATCCGTCTGGATGAGAGGTCAGCAGAAGGTCCAACAGGTAGGTGATTAATCCTCCACATCTGGTATTCGCGTAGGCGAAGTAACCAGCTATGTCAGACCATATACCAAAGCAAAGTTATAAGCAGATCTCCCCGCATGATCAGTTATACGTGAACCGAGCCATTCAGCGTGGTGGGCGTTAAAATCGGCAAGTATCACGATCTCTACGGATGGGATCTATTGTAGCCAGAAATCTGTAGCCATTTGGACGTGGTCGGTGAGTCGGTCTGTGTCGGCATTAACGCTATGGGACCTATACAGGCACCCGTAGACGCGGGGATGATCGTCGCTGGCTACGCGCAGCCATAGGACGGACAGGTCCGTACCTTCAAGATTGCCGAAGCGTCGAGAACAGATATCCTCTCTGACGTATTTGCTAACAGCCCGAGGCACAAAGAAGTGTTCTAATTTGTACCCCGGGTAGGACAGGTACGAAGTATCATCTAAATATATATCATATAAAAAGAGCAAGGCTGGCTTCGCCGTCTCTAGATGGTATGGACGACGTTAAGCTTAGCTTGAAATCCCCTGATGTTGCAGAAGTCCATGGATAGCGTGGTAGGGGTCACCATGGTTTTATCGCTCTGTTTGTCCCGTGCAGTGTTAGTATAGAGCGGGATTTTAATATCGACGATGTATATATCAATATTTTTCCATAAAAATTGATTTAATCAGATTATATAGATTATTTCGATATTTCGACCCAAGCCTATTTTGAATTCGGCTTGTAATAATAAGAGTAGTTATATTGCCAAAATCTATCACATGAATTTTATGGGTGTCGTAGAAGGCGAATATAGGATAGTCTAGGTAGATAAATTTGTTACATCGTTTGTCATGCGTACAAAGGAGTGGAATAAGTCGCCAGTATCTCTCTTTTGTCATTGGATTACAATGTTGTTGTCTTCAAGGCAAGAGTGAATAGGCTTTGTTAAGTCAGTGCTTTTCACCATCTTAGGTTACATCACAACTTACCAAGTGGGTTTGTAGTTAAGCGCTCGCTTAGAATAGTAAAAAAACGTCTCGAAGTGTTGTACCATCTTCTAACTGACGCAACACCAAAAATGGCAAACAACGTCAAAAATGGAAAATCCCTACTGTGGGAGAGGTCCATGCCTATCAATGGGCTATTAACGGCTGATATAGAAGAAAAAAGAACCATATTAAGAATACTTAATGGCGAAGTCAAATATTTGACTATGATGATGTCTAATTATGATACATAGAAATAATATAAAAAAAAGATGTTATTATTTTCGATAATACACTAATCCGACATATTATCACGAAATTCTTTATATACTTAAAAATTTTAAGAAAACTAAAATTTACTAGAGATGTAAGGGCTCAATTACTTATGTCAAAAATTCTGTCTTTCGGGTGGTAGGTACCGATCTTCTGTCTTATTTTCCTGGCAAAAAGAAATTCATATATTTAATGGGTAATTATTTCTTAATAGGTAGTGGTGATTACGTTCTTAACGCACTTATTTGTATTAGGTTGATTGCAGGTATCTATGGACCACGGTTGTTACTTACTACCAAGTAGTAACGTCCGTTAGCTTGTTTTTCATTAATATAACATGAGAAAAAAATAAAACATACCTTTTTTATTTGATGTCTTCTACAATCTCTATAAGAATACAATTTCAATGTTTTTTTGGCCATTTTTTCGGAATCAATTTCCAAAGGAACAGCTGTAAATGGAAGCGAAAAGAAAAGCAGCGTATGCTTACAAAACCAATAATCAATGCTCGTAAACTTATATATTATAATACACATGAAGTTAACATACTTTTCTAATGTTAAAAATGATTACATCTGCCGCTGCTGCGGCATTTAGACATCTACATCTATCCTTGATTATGAAAAGCAGACGCGTTGTCACCCCTAAGGATTGAGATGAAATGCCTCATTACCAGTAAAAGCGTCTCCAATTACCTCTCTCGCTTACCAGACAAAACAGCAGAATTATTTTTGTTTTACGCTGGTATTCTGTGAGAGCTTAGTCTTACCCCGGTCGAGCCGACTCATACGTGCTCAGTCATAATATAGCGGAAGCGTGAATCTACCACGTGAATACCATTTGGAACAATCCTAATATACCACTCTCGCTTTTTTCACACCCATATATATAAACGCATACAGGCTCGTCGATTAGAGGCCCTTCTTCAATATACGAGTATCACCAATTGGGTCGTAAAACTTCCGTCTAAAAGCACACTTTATCTTCATTAAATCTTTCTACGTGCTTTAATTACGTTCTTTCTTAATCCTGGACACAAAATCTTTACACTTTTCTTTTATCACAGAGATACCCCATAGATACTTCTTAACCGTATTTCTACAGCATAAATTCTACTGTATTATCACAACACGCCTAGCGTTGATTGGAAGAGCCGTTCAAAACACTCCCTTTCATTTTTATATCCTTGTCCATATCTACAATCCCTGCCTAACACACATCCTAAGTTTTTTGGATAGAGTGACAAACGAGCACACAGTCCACCTGATGGTAAGTGGTTGGTGGTCTATCTTCGTTTGCGAATTAAAATGCATATGCGTTATCAGCCGTGAGGACTAAGTTAGAATGCCTCTTTTCCAGTAAAAAGGGTCTCCGGTTCTCTACACTCACCATACGAAACACAGCAGCATTAAGCTGCTATTATACGCTGGTATTCTGTGAGAGCGTGGTCCTTTCCCGGTCGAGCCGACCCATTCTTGATACAACTATACTATTAATATAGCTGTAGCATTGCTCTACCACGTAAAAAGTCATCTACAATAAAGAACCAAAATACAGATGCGTCGTCACCCGTGAGGACTAAGATGGAATGCCTCTTTTCCAGTTCAATGGGTCTCCGGTTCTCTACACTCACCATACGAAACACAGCAGTGTCAAGCTGCTATTTTACGTATGGTAATGCACATACGTTGTCACCCGTGAGGACTAAGAGGGAATGCCTCGTATCCAGAAAAAAGGGTCTCGGGTTCTCTGCACTCACCATATGAAACATAGTAGCATTTTTATTTATTAACGCTCTCACAGAATACCAGCGTACAATAGCTGTACTATTGTACGCTGGTATTCTGTGAGAGCGTGGTCCATTCCCGGGCGAGCTGACCCATTCGTGCTGCAACTATACTACTAATATAGCTGCAGCACGGCTCTGCTACGTATAAGATGAATCCAAATACAAAATCATAAATACAAAAACTCATCAACTTGCTTAACAAACTCCTCCTCTTCTCCTTTTTCTCTTTCAAGAATCATCATTTTCGTCTTACTTGCATTAAAATATTATTAGGTATTTTCTATTCCATATAATATCTACATTGCTACTGACCGCTAAGATAATCAACCATGAAGACGTTTCTGTTTCTTCGTTTCTTTTTCCGTTCATTCAAAGATGGTAGGCAAATTGGAAGCATGTAAGCTGAAATTTAATACCCTTTTTTAAACAACCTTCAATTATTACATAAGTCATTTTTATAATGTTGTGGTTGTTACCAGATTTTAAAGGACGCATAAGTTTAACAATGGCTAAGCTGTTTGCTCTTCTAAATCTAAAAAAAAAAAACTAGTATTAGGTACTTTTTTATATGAACGATAAGGAATGTCAGTAATACATTAGCTAGAATCATAAGTTGGACCTGGTATATTCTGGATGTGGCATTACTTCTAGGTGAGGTATCTCAAAGTAAGCGCGCGGGCAGTTGCGACCAATTTTGATTTGTTCATGAGTTAGACCACATTCATCCTCGTCGCGGTGGTAATCACCAAATATGACGTTCCCGCTGGATTTTAGAGAAGAAAAAATATTAAAAGATGGATTAACATATAAAATAAAAAATGTAACAACAAAGATCTCTTATTTTAAATTCCTTATTTCTCCTTCATGTTCTTCTTCAATTTTTTAATCCTGTAAAAGTCCATTGCTAGATGGGATTACCTCGTTGCAAGGGGATTTGCCATAAGCACTATTGCACATGGATTTGCAAACTTAGTTTCAGATGTCTCGCACATTTGACGCTATGGCTGATTCTTACTATATTCTGTTTTTTTTTTTAATAATGTCAAGTATGACAATGTAAACCGATTGCGACATGAGAAAATTATTTCCAATTACTATTCCCATTACAGCCTATTAAAAGTGAACTGCTGGACATATGCCTCCCCCATAGGTTGCCTTTAGAGGTGATGTTTACTGTAGTTGGTAATAGCAATTTTTTATTATTATTGTAAGTGGTTTTTGATATGGGGTTGTGTAATCTCTTACGTCACCACTATACGGCTCAGAAAATTATTTATTGCTCCCAAAATAATTAAAAACTCACAGTTTATAGTTCTTTGGCAATCGCATCAGGTCAGTGGCGGTGCCGAGTACAAATTGTTTGTGAATGAGCACCACACGTGGAGATTTTGATTGATGCGGTAACGTCGTGGCAACTGCGTGATAAAAAATTTACGTATATAAAGGTGTAACATGCTAATATAACAGTGTTAACATGTATAATTGAAGAAAGTAAAAAATAAAGCTAAAGCCACAGATCTTTTTTCATTTCTAATATGGTTGATCTAGTGATAGCTCAACCCTTGCTCCAACCCAGGGTTTAAGCGCTCGCCGCAGATTTTAAGTGCTGATTTACCACGTGCTCTGTGGTGAAGGAAAACATCGTGAGGTAACCTTAATTTCTGAGAACTAAAATATTTTGAGGAGGACGTAATATGAAGTCCACCAACACGCCCTAGAGCAGCGTTGCGGGCTGATTACTCCATAACCCTGTGTAAGTATAACATGCATAAGAAACTATGCTGTAAGAAACTATTCCTTTTCTGATGTTAGAAATTATTCTCAAAATTATTTAAATAAAAGAACACTACTCGGTAACAAACCCTGTTTACTATCAGGGTTTGTTACCGAGTGGTCGGCCCAATTACATGATAACACCAAAGTATGCAAACCAACAGCATCACTACCCATCTCAATGTAACGCAGGACAGCCTCTCAACAACACGATCTTCTTTGCCTACATTAGTAGAATATTCCAACGGGCATAGTGGCGACAGTGAGACTCGTAGAATTACAGACTGATGCCTCTTCGTCTACGCGATACTTTATAGTGCTAGAACTGGTGGGAGATTACAGTCCTACCTTCATTTGTTCGTATTTCCTTTTATTTTTTTACCCTCATTCCCAACAATACATTATAACATCACACATTACTTTGACTGTCTTCTTTTTAACACGTTTTATTAGCTTAACCATCATGAATGTATGTTTTTAAGTATGCGTGTATGTATGTATGTATATGTGCATGTATGTACATATGTATAAAATAATATGGGATTTTGTAATTCAGTTTTCACCCAAATTCAGAATTCACAGATAGGTGATTGACAGCTTCAGATAAGATGTCAAGCACATCTCATCAAAATTAGAATGAACATGAATTTCTGCACAAATATTGATACGTAGGCGGGATTATAAGTAACTAGCCACTGCTATTTAAAACGTTAAAATTAAAAAAAAATATATATGTCATTTTTAATTCGTATCTCTGGGAGTTTTGGCGTGAACTTGACCAGCGGCGGTTTGCTGCTCCTGTATTATAGTTTTAATAATAGTTTGAAGTGGATTTTGATATATAAAAGTGGTGCGATTTTATGTATTAACTGTCTACGCATGTGAACTATTAGTGGAAACGGTGAAACAAGTGCTCTGATGGTGATGGATTCTCAAGATAAACTGTTTGCATAGGCGCCTTTAGATACCATCGCCCATTGTCAACTGCCTGCTGGCTCAAGTTGCCGTCAAAATCGCCCAAGGGCTGCACAATGTGACGCATCACCATATTGTGAAGCAGTGAACTATGAAGGATAATTATACATAAAGACAAGGTTGTATGGCATAGTTCCTTTGCCTGTTCTCTCGAGCAATTAATAAAAACAACAACAATCGTATCTTTGGCCACCTGTGTTCTAAATTTGAATTTGGTGGCGTAAAAATTTTATTGATTTTTTGTCATTTGAAAATATATTTCGTCAACTGTTTTTAAAATGGATAAAATTGAACAAAGAGCGGTGATAAAGTTTCTTCATATGAAGGGCATGAAGGGGAAAGATATCTATAACGAGTTAAAGAATGTTTTAGGTGAATGTGCTCCTTCTTATGCCACAGTAAAAAACTGGGTGGCTGAGTTTAAACGCGGTCCTACATGTGTCCAAGATGAAGCCCGCCCTGGACGTCCAAAAAGCGTCACAATTCCGGAAATGGTCGTGAAAGTACATAATATGGTTTTAGCAGATCAACGATTGAAGTTATCTGAAATAGCACCCACCTTATTCGCCTGATCTAGCGCCATCAGACTTCCACTTACTCCCTAAGCTCAAAACTTTTTTGGGTGGACAGAAATTTGCCACAAATGATGAAGTCATAGCCGCTGTAGAGGAGTATTTTGCAGGCCTCGAAAGAAATCATTTTATGGAAAGCATTACTGCTTTAGAACGAAGATGGAATAATTGCGTAGAGGTTCAGGGAGACTATGTCGAAAAATGAAATTAATTTTATCACGGAAAGTTAAGTGTTTTCTAATTAGGCTAGTTACTTATCATCCCGCCCTCGTAAATATGATCCCCAATGTAAATGTAAATTATCTTTATGATGATCATTATGAACTTTACAAAGTCAAAGGGGAAGTCACAAAAATATAAGAATATATTATAGTACCCGATAGTGGTAAGTTTATATATTTATAAGTCTGTTAACTTCTCTCTACTACATGTAATCGCGATTGATAGGACATATTAAGATCTTGTTCCAATATGTTGGAATGATAATCTTTTCCAAAAAATTAAGAAAATATTTCGGTTAAGGTTCTAGGAAAATTGTTCATTATTTATACATACCATGCACATAATAAATGAAGCCTAACCACTTAAATGTATGACCGTCCAAAATGCCATCTGGAGGTTTTAGTTCAAAGTCGTCGTGGCAAGTGGCAAAATCACGAATCATGCTTACTGCACTTCTTATACAAACTACAACATGACATTAGATTTAAAATGCATTTAAATTTTTTAAATATAGAAAAAATTAAATTTAAGTACTTAATTACAAACATGTGAGGAAAATGGATTTACAAACGTCCATTTTGCGTCGTGTTACTGCTACACTACACGTGTTTGCTTGTTTACAAGTAAAATTTACCTGCGGATGATTATTAAAAGCCAAAGAGCGGAATGTAAACTAAATTCTTAGCTCATTTAAAAAAAAAACTATTTGTAGTTGAAATGCAGCGATTTTTTTTTAAATATGTTGCTTTCCTATTCTTGTGTGAGAGCGTGGTTCTTCCCTGCTTGAGCCAACCTATTCGGCTCTACCACGAAAGAAAACGTTATTTTTATGAGTTATGAGACTGCCTCTTGTAAATGCTTTTCGTCACATCTATAAAGATGCCCCGTTGAAGCTCTATTTGAATAATTTTTTGGGTTATATACGTTGCAACATGCTTCTACTATATATTAAATTACTTCGGTCACTTTCGTTCTATTAGATATATTCAATATGGATTTTATTGCGCAGATATACTTGCAGCATAAATGCAGCTTTTGCTTTTGCTTGCAGCGTTTGACGTAAATGACATGGTTTACCATCTATAAGGTGACACAAGATTTTTCTGAACATTTCCTACGGAATGAAATAGATTGACTGATGGATTCGCTTACGCCACTACGCCTACTAGATAATCACTATAATAAATATGCACAGATTTAATTTAATTTATTATTTTTATCAAATAACCAAGATACGATAAGATAAGAGTACGCGACCACGCAGTTTTGCGAAGATAGTTTTATTGTATGAGACACTGGTTAGTTATAATTTATTTAAAAAAAAAGATTATTTACAAGTAAAAATATGTCTAATATTCCAATTTCCCTCCACACTTTTACGGGATAAATTGAAACATCGTGTTTCATTTAAAAATTCATCCTATGTATTTTTTTATAGGATAGGATGACAAACGAGCACACAGTCCACCTGATGATAAGTGTTTGCTGTGACCCATAGACATCCACATTTATCGTCAATAAAGAATCAAAATGCAGATGCGTCGTCACCCGTGAGGACTAAGATGGAATGCCTCTTTTCCAGTAAAATGGGTTTCCGTTTCGCTATACTCACCATACGAAACAGCAGCATTGAGCTGCTATTTTACGCTGGTTTTCTGTGAGATCGTGGTCCTTCCCCGGTCAAGCCGACCCATTCGTGCTACAACTATACTACTAATATAGCTGCAGCTTGACTCTACCACGTGACAGCTGGTATAACAAATTTCAGCACAGTCATCTAACTATGAGAGATTAAGAAAGAAGCAGAATAAAGAAAGAAAAATTTAATTAATGAGAATAGATAAATTATGTATGAAGAGATTTAGCACATATGGCAGATTAGATTTTTTTCAGACTAAACAGGGCACCTTTTGCGGAAGGAGAGGTTCGCAAGAGTTTCGCGATGGGTGCCACAAATTCTTCGATGCTCAGAAGTGGACCCGCAGGCAAAATTTGAAGCAGGCTCGTCTGTGGTGCTCTGAAATTATTGCAGATGCTGAATTTTTAGTTTATCAATACTATCCAGCACAGGAAAGATTATAACAGAGAAAAAGAATACCCGACAAAGAGAAAAATATAAGATATATACCTAGTCAGGTCATAAGTATTGTCACACAGTAAAAACTTTTCTTTTAGAATGCTGGCCACAAAAAAGTTTATTGAATTCGAATTTCGAATTGTTCATGAAAATAAAACTGTATACTTTTTAGAATTTTACTCATTTTTAAATATGGAGTGGACGCTTAAAGAAGACCGTGTTGCAGTTATTGCGTTGCATCGTTGCGGTTACGCGCCAATTCAAATTTTTGACATACTGAAAAATTTGAATATAACCAAAAGGTTTGTTTATCGTACCATCAAATGATACAATGAAGACTCTAGTGTAGATGACAGGTCAAGAAGTGGTCGCCCTCGGTCTGTTAGGACTCCAGCAGTGATAAAAGCAGTGAAGGCGCGAATTCAAAGAAATCCCAAACGTAAGCAGAAACTGTTGGCCCTTCAGATGGGGTTAAGCAGAACCACGGTGAAAAGGGTGTTAAATGAAGACTTAGGGCTTCGGGCATATCGAAGAGAAACAGGACATCGTTTGAATGCTCGTCTAATGGACCTGAGACTAAAGAGATGCCGCGCTTTGTTGTAGCGGTACATGGGAAAAAAATATCGGGAAATTCTTTTTTCGGATGAAAAAATTTTTACCGTAGAAGAGAGCTACAACAAACAAAATGATAAGGTGTACGCACACAGTAGTGAAGAAGCGAGCAACCGTTTTCCGCGTGTCCAACGAGGTCATTTTCCATCCTCGCTCATGGTATGGTTGGGAGTTTCTTATTGGGGCTTAACAGAGGTACATTTTTGTGAGAAAGGTGTAAAAACGAATGCAGTTGTGTATCAAAATACAGTCCTGACGAACCTTGTGGAACCTATTTCTCATACCATGTTCAATAACAGGCACTGGGTATTCCAACAAGATTCGGCGCCAGCTCATAGAGCGAAGAGCACACAAGACTGGCTGGCGGCGCGTGAAATCGACTTCATCCGGCACGAAGACTGGCCCTCCTCCAGTCCAGATTTGAATCGGTTAGATTACAAGATATGGCAACACTTAGATGGAAAGGCGTGCTCAAAGCCTCATTCCAATTTGGAGTCACTCAAGACATCCTCGATTAAGGCAGCCGCCGATATTGACATGGACCTCGTTCGTGCTGCGATAGACGACTGGCCGCGCAGATTGAAGGCCTGTATTCAAAATCACGGAGGTCATTTTGAATAAACTTTAGTGTCATAAGAATCTATGTTTTGTTAAGTTTATTTTGGTATATAAATGGTTACATAATGAATAAACTTGTTTCAATTATTTTATATTAAACATGTGACAGAATTTATGACCTGACTAGGTATTTTTCTCTTTGTCGGGATTTTCATCGGTGTTTGTATATCAATTCCTTTGTAGCATTAATGCAAGGACACTTAACTCACCTGATTTAATAATAAAAATTATTTTTTTCGTCATGAATTTTTTGCTTTCGCCAATCTTTCCCAATTAAGATGGACTGCCCCGTTGTCCTTAATTTGATTTTGGGCTTTTGACTGTAGCTAAACAAAAAAACTATGACCGAACAGTAACATAGTTCTATTTTACTCAGTATTCTATGACAGTAGATTGCGGGAATATTAATTACATAATATAATGGATGGTTTATAAACGTTTAAAATGCAAATTAAATTCTCAAATCGGTTATTAACGTCGTACTTTTAAAATTGATTGTTTGTATTATGAGAAGTTTTATTTGTAAACTTGCGAACATAATCTTCAATATATATGTCGAATACAAAGAATTTTTTTTATTGTACGCTGATAGTTAAATAAGTAAGGTTGTCATGGGACTTTCTTTGTGGTTTCTTGTGTGCTTAATATTATATTTTGGTAGGTAAATATTTTACTACAATGAAAACCATTATACCGTACGATTATAAATATATGTCTGTGTACTCTCGTGTGTTAGCTGAGCTCTGTTTGGTATACATGTGAAATGTCTAAACTGTTTCAATATTAACTTACTGTATACTATCAAATAAATAACTAACAATAATATAAAAAATATTTATTTCATCTTTTAGTTGCATGTGGATTTTGTTGGGATGTTCTTTCAGGCATGGGATCCAGACGTGCTAAAAGTCAATATAGTAAGTGCTTGGAAACTCGATTTTAATATATTATATAATTATTTAGGTTTATGTGCTTAACATATTCTTAAAAACGTTTTTTTCAGTTTTCAATAATGAATATATATTCGGAGATTGCAAACGAACAGACAAGATCCTCTATACTAATAATACTGTAAAACTAGACGATGCACAATATCGATCTATTCATCGGGTAAGATTATTATTACCACATAATATGTATATCACATGTAATTTTATAAACCACACTATTTCATTACAGTCATACAATTGGATAAAAAACTTTTGCCATAATGAGATAGACTTTGTCGTATATTTACTTTTCCCGTGACATTTTTGCTAGTTTCACCTAATCAGATAACAACAAAAAAACGATCTTTTAATCCTGTTCAAAATGTAATATTCGTTTGAAAATGTGAAATACTTTTCGAATTTTTAACGAATTTCATAATTAAAACACCATAATATATTCTGTTGAATTTCGTACCTAACTCAGTAAGCTTTTTTGTTTTGATTCATCGTTTGTTTAAACGTGGTAGCGTCACGCTGCAGGTTATTCAGGCGGCAGCACATTTGCGTCGATTCGATCGGCTACTATTTGTTTGTATAGTGAGTGGTGAGAATCGAAGACCCTTTTTTCTGGTATCAAGGGATTTCATCTTAGTCCTCAAGAATAAAAACGCATTTTGATTTTTAATTACAGACGAGTGCACAGCATTTATTTAACATCATGTAAGATTGTCTGCTCGTTTGTTTGTTTTTCAATCATGGTATGTTTTATGTACCCCTTGAAGTTACCTCCAGACTCAAAATATACCTTTGTATATTTTACGTAACCTTGGAATCAAAGAATCAGATTGAAGGCCACAGCTATTTTGTGTAGGATATGAAAAATGCAAATTTTCTTTTTTTATATATGTGCATTGTCACTTGTATCGATAAATTTGGATATCTCGGGGAATGATATATAGGGTTAATTTTCAAAGAGTAGTCAAAATATAAATAAAGATTTACCGTTATTGCAGTTTCTGAAAATACGAGTAAATAAGGCTTCTACATTTATTTGAAATTATCCCAAATTTAATGCGATTTATGGGCAACAACTTTTGGCTAGCGATCGACCCTAACGAATGTGTGCGTGCGCAGTAAAATCAGTTAATATAATGCATATAATGCATTACCATGCATTTTGAATTTAAAGGATAAAAAGAACAGAATGTTTGAGATTTTTTTTAAGTAATTTTTCTTCACCATTTGCCATATTACTTATTCTGAACCTTCTCTGCAAATTTGGTCTGTTATTGCAAAATTAACCTGCATAAAATAACGGAAGCAGTCAACAATTTGAATTGA